TTTCGAGAATAAATAGATAGATAATGCACTGAAATATTGTTGATTGAAAGGCCACAGATCAGCTGAAGGTTATCATTTCGATCAGAGGTGGAGAAAATGTTAAACTTTCACTTGAAGGATTAGCTAGACTTTTAACGTCACCATTTTCATGTTTACTCACCATTGTTTTACTTTACATTACACTGATGCAGCAAAGCCTAGAGTTTGCATATATAAGAAAAAATATGATAATCCTCTGTGGTTCTCATCGGAAAACCAACCATTAAGCAGTTTACAAACCACGATTTTCCAACATGTAGCTTTGAAATTTCTGTCTGATGAGTTCTTAGTTCATGAACCAAAATGCTTCTGATGAGGATCTTTAAAGGGGAGTAAAATATATAGAGGAGTAAATATACAACTGCTGATCATCAAACTTTAGAGCGATTTTCTTTTCGGGGTTTAATTACGCTAAAATTTCTTGCGAATTATGACTTAAAAATCATAGCTTGTACATCCTAAAAACTGGAAGTCATCAGGAACGCGTTATATATATATAAATAAATATATACATGTAATTTTTATCATTTATGTTTATCTAATTAACTCCGTAATAATTTTCTATCTTTCGCTGAAAAACAGTATTACATTTTGTAGACAAATTTTTGTTTAGCTTTTACTTATAATTTATGATTTTTTTGGAGCCGCCATTGGACAATGACCAGCAAATTTGATTTTTCTATCTACTTTCCATATGTTTACTCTAATTCTTATTTTCTTTTTATTTTCTCAGTGTCCCTATTTTTCATTATACAGAAATCACCTAATCAGACGCCAGAGAGAGCACACACACGGTAAAAGGCACACAGAGAAGGGGGAGTAGCTGCGATAAGTTTGAATTTTGTATATGTTATAAATTACTCTTTATAAAATCAGTCATCGATTTATATTTTCAATTATTTTTTCAGGTTAATATTGATACCCGTGATGATACCGCAAGGTAGATATTCATTGATATTTGAAAATTTCCGGTTTAACAGATAATCAATAAATGCTACGTCTAAGCTAAACTGCTACTAACCTAGATATGTACCTCCACGTGAGTGTATCTTACCTTTTGATATGATTTTGATACAGAAATGCCATTTCCGTGTTGTTAAAACCGTCTCTAGGAACAATAAATGCCTTTCGGTGCGAAGAAAAAACAGGAACTGCAGCGCAAAACGAATCTATATTTATCTGCAACCTTCCCC